CACTGAGGGAAGTTCTTCAGGCTGATAGAGAAAAACGCAGTGGAGATGCAGATCTTCGGCATGAAATGAAGAACCTCAGAAATGGGATGTAATGTGGGAGAGTATTTTAAATGTATTAAGAGTGAAAAGAGACTCTGAGTGGTACAATTTATAAACTGACAAATTTGTTATTCTCTACAATTAAGAGAATATGCATTCTTGGCAACCTCAAGCAGGATACTTGCAAAAAATTATATGCTAGACAAAATAGCCTCAACAAACTTTAAAAATTGGAATTCCATGGGATACATTTTCTGATCATAGTACATTTAGGTTTTAAAAAATCAGCAACAAGGGCTGGGGATGTAGCTCAGTGGTAGAGCAGTTGCTTAGCATGTGTGAGGCCCTGGGTTCAATGCCCAGTACCACACACATACACGTGCACACACATACATGTGCGTGCATGTGCCCGTGCACACACACACACACAGAGTAACAAAAAGATCAGTAGATAATCTCCCTAACCTGTGTATAGTGGCCGTATCCCTGTAATCCCAGCACTGTGGGAGGCTGGGGCAGGAGAATTACAAGTTTGAGCCCAGCCTGGGCAACTTAATGAGACCTTGTGTCAAAATAACAAAAATTAAAAAGGGGATGGATTGTAGCTCAGTGTGAAGGCCCTGGGTTCAATCCTCAGTATTGGGGGGCCAGTGAGAGAGAGGAAAGAGAAACTTAATGTGCTTGAAATTTTAAAAACAATTCTAGCTGGGTATGGTGGCACATGCCCATAATCTCAACACTTGGAAGGCTGAGGTAGGAGAATCACCTTGAGTTCGAGGCCAGCCTAGACTACATAATGAGTTCAAGGCCAGCCTGAACTACATAGTGAGATCCTGTCCCCGCCAAAAACCAAAAAATCTAAATTGCCAAGTCAAAGAAGAAACTATAATGAAAATCCAGAATATTTGGAGCCAAATAACAGATATTTTCATTACAGAATTTATAGAACAATTTAAGCAGTACTAAGAGAAAAATCTACAGCTTTAATAAGTGCTCACATTAGTAATGAAGAAAGTCACAGGTTTAATGAGAATAGAATAGTATTATACCCAAATAAAGTAGAAAAAAGTCATAAGGAGACAAATTAATAAACTAGATAAACATAATATCCATAAAGAATGAAGCTAATAATTGAAAAGAGTAGTAAAATAGCCCAATCTCTGTTAGGATTAATTTTTTAAAAATAGGAAAGATATAGAGTTGGGAATAAAACATATAACTGAAAGCAGTGCAAAGATTTAACACATAGTGAGAACCTTTTTGATCAACTCCATACTTATAAATCCAAAAATTTAGGTAAAGCATATAAAAGAGAAAACTCGGCAAAGCTGACTGAAGAATAATAGGAAACTTATAAATAGAGGCAATTCTGTTATCATGAAAGAAATTAAATCAGTACTTCAACTGTGTTCCTTCCCCAAATCCACCCAGAGTATGTTACAGGCAAATTCTAACAACATTTAAGAAACAGACCCACTTTTATACAGTCTTCTTCAGAGAACAGGAAACAGGATATCTTCCTACTCATTTTATGAATCTGGCATAACCTTGACATCAGAACCAGACAAGGATAATACAGTTATAAAAATAGAGATTTCAGGCTACTTTCATTTATGAATATTAATACAGAAATTCTAGTGAAAGAATTGCAAAATCAGGAAAATAAAAAAGTACATCATGGAAAAGTTGGTAAAAACTTGAGTCATTAGAAATTTTATTAATGTACTAATTAACAGATGAAAAAATGATTTTTTTTGGTACCGGGGATCAAATTCAGGACCTTGCATTTGCAAGGCAGGCGGCAATGATCATTACTAATAGAGGCAGAAACAGTTTAATAGTCTTCGCCAGCCATTCATTGCAAAATTCTTGGCAAAGCTGCAATAATGGGGAACTTCTATAACTTGATAAAGGGCTTCGTGTGTTTTTCCTTTTTTTTTTTAGGTTTTTTTGAGACAGGGTCTTAGCATGTAGTTCAGACTGGTCTTGAACTAACTCTTGTAGCCAGGCTGGCCTCGAACTCATGGCAATCCTCCTGCCTCTGCCTCCTGAGTGCTGAGATTATAGGCCTGCACCACCAGTCTGGCTGATAAAGGGCTTCTTAAAAGAGAAAAATCCCATAGCTAACATATTTAATGCTAAAATGTTGAAAAGTGATCCTGTAAGATAAGAGCAAGACAAGGGTACCAATCTCCGTCCCTCTTACTTTACATTGTGACTGGTGGCCCTCACCAGTGTAGTAAAATAAGAAAAGGAGTATAAAGTACTAGGAAGAAGATACCAGACAGTCATTATTAGCAGGTGATATAAAAAATTTTTGTAGATAAATTATTAGGATTAAGAGTTATTAGAAGTAGGGCCGGGGATTTAGCTCAGTGGTTCCAGCACCTGCCTTGCAAGTGCAAGGTCCCAAGTTCGATCCCTGGTACCAAAAAGAAAAAAAAAGAGTTATTAGAATTATTACTAGAATCAATAATTACAATGACTTACAGTTGTTAATATTATTTAGCAACGTTGCTGGATACAAGGATAGTATACAAAATCATAAAAAGATGCCAATTCCTAGGATTCGTAGCAGGTTCCTAGGAATAAATCCTACACAAGTTATATAAACCTCTTATGGAGATGAAGGATAAAATAAAGATTATATATCAGTGAAAGGTAATAAAGAATATTTATATAAATACAGAGCTCTCCTATGATTTTACTTTGGAAAACAATGTTATTATGATAATACTTTTCCCCCAGAGTGATCTGGGATTCAATACAATTCTGGTAAAAGTCTCAACCAAGGTTTTTTGGGGGAGGCGGGTGCAGTTTGAGGCAAGGTCCCGCTTTTAGTTCAGGCTAGCCTTGAACTCATTATGTAGTCCAGGTCTGCCTCAAACTTGTGGTGATCCTCCTGGCTCAGCCTCCAGAAGGCTGGGTTATAGGTGTCCACCACCATGCCTGGCTGGTTTTTCTTTTTTTATCTCTTTAAGTTTAAATTTTTAACTTGACAGGATTATTTTAAGATGAATATGAAAGACCAGAGGGCCAAGAACAGGCAAGATCCGGGTTGGAATTTTCTGTACCAGAGGTCAAGAATCATAATGTATATGAGATATAAAGGACATGTCAGGATGGAAATCAATAAATGGGTTGGTGCAACAGAATAGGGAGCCCAGTGATAAGCACCTGACACCCTGACTTGTGACCCAGCAGGCACTGCCCACAGCTCATCAGGGAACAAATGAATGGATGAGGGCCCCGGGGATTTAGCTCAGTGGTTCTGCCACCTGCCTTGCAAGTGCAAGGTCCCGAGTTTGATCCCTGGTATAAAAAACAAAACAAAACAAAAATGAATGAATATATGAGTCAGTATGAAGATAACCCTGAAGGAAAGTGGATGAAAGACTTGAACAGGCATCTTGGGAGGGGGGCTTTGTGAATAGCCCGTAATGTGTGAAAGGATGCAGAGTTTATTGAGGAACAAGGAAATGCAAGCCAACTCAATATAAAATAGCTTCACACCTAGTGGATTGGCACAAATGAAAAAGATAGTTCTGTGTACCAGAGAGGTTATGAGGCAACATCTGGGGCCACAGGACCCTAGCATCCACTCCTGGAAGGGTATCTGCTGGTATAACAATTACAGTGGTTTCAGCATCACTTGCTGAAGGTGAAGGTTCTTGTAGCCCAGAAGTTGTGTATACATGTTACATGTATGCAAGGGGATGTGAACAAGAATAGGCAGCAGAACAAAGCCAAAGCAAAATAAAACCAGCATCCAATAGGGCAGTCTGGTGTGACTTTTTTCAAAGAATGAAATACTATATAGCAATAAGATAAACAAATTTCAACTATACCTTAACCCAGATGAATCTCCCAAATAAAACGTGGAGTGAACAAAGTCACAAAAGAATACATACAATGCATTTCCATTTATATAAAGTTCAGGAAATAGACACAGCTCACCAATGTATTGTTTAAAGGTGTGCAGAATATGATAAACTAGAAGGGAAAGCAAGAGAATGGCTAATACAGGGTTTGTGATGGTTGAGATGGGAGAGGGGTCACTGGGAGGTGTGCTATGGTCCCTGAAAGACAGCAGTGTTTAAATGTGGTGCATCACACATGACTGGAAGATGTACACTTTTAAAACTGACATTTTACTTTAGATGGATGCAGATTTTCTCAGTTCAAAAAAAAAGGTAATTTTGAGCTAAGTGTGGTGGTGCATGCCTGTAATTCCAGCACTTAGGAGGCTGAGGCAGGAGGATTGCTATGAATTCAAGGCCAGCCTGGAGCTGTGTAGTGAGTTTGAAGTTTGAGTTACATAGTGAGATCCTGTCTCAACCCCCCATCCCCAAAAGGGGAGTTGTGGTTGTGATTCATTAAGTTGATTTTACCACTCACAGTTTGAAATTGGTTTTTGTCTTTTTTGCTTAAACTGGTGGTGAGTACATAGTTGTTTATTATGTTATTTCTCTTTATTTCAATACTTACTCATCTTACACTCCTTCAGAAAGCAGAAACCACTCAAAGCAGGTGGGAGAAGTGCCTCCAAGGCCTCTGGAGAGCCAGGGTAGAGTGGGTGAACTGCCAGGCTCCTTTCAGAGGGGGAGCCTGGGTCCTGGGGAAATAGACTTGTCCCATAGTCTGATGAAGTGAGGCCGGCCTAGGGAGCCCCTTGTAAGCCCACTGTATGGAAGGGATCATGGGGAGGTCTCAGCTGTGTCCTCCCTGGTCTTCTCTGAAGGGCTGTTTCCATCTCATGGCCTGGCATTCTTCCTTCCCAAAGGGTGGGCTGCTGGAGCTATAGCTCTGCTCAGCCTTGCTGGCGGGGACAACAGTACCCATTGGGTGATTGTCTCACCCGACAGAGAGCAGAGACTCCAGTGTGGGCCACAGTATCCTTTCCCCTTTCATCTCAGCCTTTTCTGAAGGCATCTCTAAATCCTTACCCTACCTTTCCACAGGTGCCAAGCCAGCAGCCTCTGTGGACCCGTGGGGAGTACCCACCACAGCCAGCACACACTCTATTCCCCAGAGCTCCGACCCCTGGGCAGCTTCACAGCCACCTCCCCCAAGTGCTGGGAAAACAATGGATGCCTGGGGTGCAACCTCGGCTGCCAAGCCTGTATCCGCCTCGGGTGAGAGCTCCATCTTGCCCAGGACCTGAGAGCCCCCAGTCCAGTAGCTCTGCTGTTCCTTGGCAGCGGCCTGTTGGTTTGCTGCATTTGCTTCTCTGCCCCTCCTTAGCTTTTGATCCTGATTCCTAGATCCTGAGCACCCTGGAGTGAGTAGGAGTTCACAAGCCCATCTGTATACCCCCGTCTCCCTCTGAGGGGCTCCCCTAGAGGGTGTTGGGAGAGGTGCTATGTGGGGACCCCAGCCATGGTTCTGTCCTCACTCCAGACCAGTGGGTTGGCTTTGACCACTCTTTCAGGTCATTTCCTGCAGACCCTCACCTCACAAATGTGTCTGCACCATCACCAACCCCCTTGCACTTGGCGTGGGCTGATGGAAGCTGGTGGCCCTGTTCCTGTACTGGGAGACCAGGGTCCCTGCTTCCTGCTGTCCTCCTCAGCCCACCAGTGAGTTCTGCCCCAGGAGGTGGAGTAAGTAGGAGAGGCCTCCGCCCCAGTGTAGACTGAGCAACTGCAGCTCTGTGGAGTCAGATGAGACGCCATCAATCACTGGCCTCTGTATACCCTCAGGGTCCTTTGAGGTCTTCAGTAATTTCAATGGTACAGTTAAAGATGACTTTTCTGAATTTGACAACCTCCGAACTTCAAAAAAAACAGGTAGGTAAAGGTGCTTTCCATAATATTCTGTACATTTGACCAGCTCAGTTATTGAAGAAATAATAGCTAGCTTTCAGATCTCACCAATTTCAAGCATTTTCTTTGCATTTTGATCTTGGGAGCCTGAAGCTTTTAATTCTGGGGATTCACACATTGACAGTGAAAAGTCATGAGGTTAAGTTTTTCTTTTAACTTTTCCTTATGTTGAGCCCAGTGTTTTGTGTCTGGTGCCCTCTCCCCTGGGCCATGTCTGTAGGTCAGCCAGAGCTGCTCAGCTGCCTGCAGATGCCCCACCTCTATCCCACCCTGTGCAATGCGGGCCCACCTCAGGTCTAAGCCATCCTCTCCATCAACTTCTTTCCATCAACTACCCACTCCCCAAAGATCCCTCCTTTTCCCAGATAGCCTCCCTTTGGGCATGGATGAGGCCACTCTCTGCCCACTCCATCCCCCAGCCCCAGGTGACAGCTGCTGCCTAGGAGACCCCAGTCCTGGTTAGATACAGTTTCCTTCTTTCTTACCTCCTAATCACACACAACTTTCCTCTCTTTCCTCCCTCTGCCTTCTCTGCTTTTCTCCGCCACTTTCCCACCCCTCCCCCTCCTCCTCCCCGGCCCCTGTTCCTTCTATTCTCCACTATCCCCTCAACAGCAACCACAGGCCTGCTGGGCCTGGTCTAAGGTAATTGCCTGGCAGCCCTGGCCTCCACCTCCACCCCCTCTTCACTGAAGGACTCCAAGTAAGGAGACTAGAGGCAGCTTTGGGAACCTGGTGATTTGAAGGGTCTGCTTTTATTAAATTAAAAACAAGATTCCACAGGTCTCTGTGGGCCAGAGTACAACCAAACTTGTCATTGCCTCCAACCCCTTCATGCCTCAGTGAGAAGGCAGCCTGGCCCTGGTTCAGCATTGACTTTCAAGTATTTATATTCAATTGTAGAAGGATTCCCATTGTAGAAAATTGGAAGCATTTATGGCACCAAATGAAAACCATCTATAATCCTACTTGCACTCAGCCACTATATTTCTTTCAGGTATCTTTTTCTAAACTCTTTTTGTTTGTTTGAAACAGGGTTTGTGTAATCCAGGTCAGCCTTGAATTCATAATTTTCCTGCCTCAGCCACCTGAGTGCTGGGATTACAGGGCTGTGCTACCACACACCCAGCTTTTTTTCCCTGAACTCTTAGCAGTCTTTCTTGTTTAACTCATACTGTCAGATAAAGTCAAGTCCTGCCCCATCCTAATTTTTATGGAATAACATTTTAAAACATTTTCTATGACTTTAAAAATTCATGATTGCTCAGCAATAGTGCTCACTGTTTCAGGACATATAGATTGCTCACCAATAATTTACGGTGATACCTTCGTTCACGAACTCTGTTCTTTTCCACAGTTCTGGTTGTGAACCAAATTGGGTGAGAACCAAATCAAATTTCTCCATAAGATCACCATTGAACATAACCATTGAATTTGATTCAGTTCTTGTCCAGTTTGGTTTGTGACCAGAATCATGGCAAGAATTAAGTTCATGAACCGAGGCAGAACTGTATTTAATCAATTTGAGGGGAGACATTGTAGGTTCATTTCCTGTTTTGCCAAAGTAAATAATGCGGTGGTAAACATTTTTGTGCTTAAATCTGGTTCACATTTTGCGTTATTCCCTTAGACTGGGTTCATAGAAGTGGCATTACTTAGTGAGAGCGTGATTGTGAAGAAGGCTGAGCCTATGGCCACAGTGTATCCCAGGAAGACAAATGTGCCCACCAACCCATCTCAGCATACCCTCTTTTGACTGTATTTTAGAACTTAATTTTCATTCTTCTTACTGTCAAGAAATTTGCGTTCATTGTAGCAAATGAAAATATAAAATGATACAAAAAATGTAAATTATCCATGCCTTACCAACAACCCAAAATAACATCTTAATATTTTTGAAGGGTTTTGCTGTACATATTATTTTGAATTTTGCCTTTTCTACTTATTATTTTGATACAGTTTTCTTTGCTCATCATTAACTGTTCAGATGTCCCTTCATTTTGGTGTTATGTGGGTACATGGCTTTTTTAACCTGCCCCGTGGCTGGCTGTGTGTCTCTACATGGGACTGTTGGAAAGAATGCTGGAGGGGACATCCTGTCTTGTACACAGTATGTGTGTGCTGGGAGCCTTGGCATCAGGAATGTCTGCGTTCTGCTTTATGCTCCTGGGGTTGGCAGCTTTAGGTACATGGTCTCAGGCCCTGACCTCATGCTCACCATGCCATGTGTATTTCTGTCTTGCAGCTGAGTCTGCGACCTCCCTACCATCTCAGAACAATGGAACTACAAGCCCTGACCCCTTTGAGTCTCACCCCCTAACTGTTGCCTCAAGCAAGCCCAGCAGTGCCCGGAAAACACCGGAGTCCTTCCTGGGCCCCAACGCTGCTTTGGTGAACTTGGACTCGCTGGTGACCAGGCCTACTCCACCAGCCCAGTCCCTTAACCCCTTCCTAGCACCAGGTAGGAAAGTGCCCACTCCTCATCTGGATGCTTGCTTTGCTCTTCCTCAGACTGGGTGTGTGATGGCCCTGGACCTGACTCTGACTCTCTCCCCCTTTTCGGGGCTCTTCCTACCATGCTCCATGTGAGGCCCAAGCTACAAGGGCTAGAAAGGAGCACATCCATCAGGAACTCAGGATTATACAGCCATCTCTCTCCAGGGCCACATGGGGGTGGGTTATAGAAGCTGCTGTTTAGAGGGGAGGATGTGAGGAGAAAGTTTCCCCTCTCCTTAGTTGAGAGCACCAAGCAGAAGCTGCTTAACTGGGTAGCCCTGACAGGAGACCCTGGAGAGAATGCTGGTTCTGGGTCAGGTGGAGGTGGGCAGAGTGCTGGGGTGAGAAAGAGCCAGGGTTTGCTGCCCAGCATCTGCCCTCTGTGGGCAGAAATTAATGGGACCCTCTAGCCATTCTCTGGGGACCTAAGGACCCTCTCCATAGTCCCCACCACAGAATTCTGCTCTGTGGCCTTCAGGGGCTCCATGTTGGCTATGGAACAGGGCCTCAGCTGCTTGATTCTGTATCTAGGGTCATTATTTCTGGCTCTGGTATCCCTAGCCCAGCCCTTTCCTTCCCCATGTACATCATGCCTGCAGCTGCCCTGAACTCTATTATGTCCCTCAAACATGAGAGAACTCCCCTTTACCTCCAAGGCATGACACTCTCCACCCCCTGCCTAGAATATCCTCCCTCCTCTTTCCTCCCATCACCCAGCCTACATGACCTCTTCCCCTAAGATGCCTTTCCTCTCATGCACCGATTCCCCTAAGGCCTTGAGGAATGTGTGAGCCTCTGACCAGGCCCCAGGCTACAAAGGATCAGAGGATCCCAGACCTGTTCCTCCTTCAGGCCTTACAGAGGAGTGGCTATTGGCTCTAGAGGGCCTGAGGTTGTGGCCTTAGTGGAGGAGTGTGTGGAGTTCTGGGTCCCACATTGAGGCCTAGGTCAGGAAGGATATGGTGGCCCAGGGCAGGGTGGCTCCATGAGTAGAGCTGGATTAGGGCCTGAGGACCTCAGTCAGCCTGGAGCCTATTCCTGCCCAGTAGTTCCTGTTAACTCAACCTGCAGCGAGTCCTCAGGGTTCAGAAGAGCTCCTGTACGGCTATGTCCTCAGCTCTAAGGACATCTCCTTGGGGCCTTGGGACAGTGAGCCCTGCTGGACCTTTGGGGTCATTCTCCAGGCCACACAGGTGGTCTTGGCTGTCATTTGTGGGTTGCATGGACCAGAGATGCAGTTCCGGTTTCCCTTCCTGGCACCTACCCCTCTGCAGTCTCCCATGTCCTCAGCTGTGAACCAGGGGTGACTCTTAGAGTCCTCTTCCTCCTTGGATCAAAGAGCAGCAAGCAGCCTTGTCTCCATGGTAGTGACTTGGCCACCCTTGACCAGCATGCTGCCTTGGGTTGGAGACTCATGCTGGGAAACCACATCTCTTGGCAAAGAATCCCCAGCTGTTTTGATAATGGGTAGAAGATGCTTCCTGCTTGAGGGAGGTTGGTAGACAGGGTGTCCCACGGTGCCGCATAGGTACTGGCACACAAGCTACATGCTGTGGTTCCTGAGCCCCAGTCCTTTCTCCCAGGCATCTGTGGTCATAGCTGGGCAGATAGAATGAGGGCACAGGGCAGCTGTTTGCTGCTGACAGCATTCTGGACACTAGCCCTCCAGAGGACCTTGGGTCCTGAGCCTGGCATGCTGCTAGCACTGTCTCTTTTAGCCCTCTGACCCTGGATATGTCACAGGCTTCTCACAGATACAGTATCCTGGCCCTTAACAGGTCAATTCTTGTGGTCAGCAGATGCTTGCTAGTGTCTCTTGTGGATGTGGCCACCATTGTTGCAGGCCCTCGGTGAAGCAGGGACCAGAACACTTGTATCCCTGACCTGGAGCTCAGAATTCAGATGGAGCTGGGCATGGTGACACGCACCTATATTCCCAACATTGGGGAGGCCAAAGCAAGAGGATTGCTGTGAGTTTGAGGCCAGCCTGGACTACATAGTGAGTTTAATGGCCAGCCTGGAATACATAGCAAGACCATGTATTTAAAAAAAAAACAACAAAAAAACAACCAAAACAACATAGCTCTCCACAGATGGAGAGCTGTATCTCTTGAGGGTGGCTGTACCCCACCACTGGAGGGGACAGTGCTTTCCTAATAGCTCAACCTCTGCCCTCCTGCTCTCTCCTCAGGTACCACTACCACCTCGGCCCCTGTTAATCCCTTCCAGGTGAACCAGCCCCAGCCACTGACGCTGAACCAGCTGAGGGGGAGTCCAGTCCTGGGGAGCAGCACAGCCTTTGGGCCTAGCACAGGGGTGGAGCCCATGACCTCAGCAGCCCCACACCCAGTTCTGGGGGCCAGTGGCTCCACTTTGACACCCCTGGGCCCCACAACGATGAACATGGTGGGCAGTGTGGGCATGCCTCCTTCGGCAGCACAGGCCACAGGCACAACCAACCCTTTCCTTCTGTAGTGCCCTGGGCTTGGGACCCACCCAGAGCAAATGCCCGGAACACTCGTGCCAGAGGACACTTAGTGAGAACTCTGTGTGGGGTGGTAGCTGAGAGGTGGGGGTGGGTATTAGGGCCTTCAGTTCCAGCTTCCTGGTAAAAGGATTGTCCTTTATAGCCCAAACTCTCAGACTTGAATAGCATGTGGGGTGTCCTCTCCATCTGAGGCAGGGCCGCTTGCCTCTCCCCAGCCTGACCAAGCTCCTCTGAGGCCTTGGATGCAGAAGTGAAGTTGTCATTGTTGTCCTTATTCCCAGCCTCATCCCAAGGGTCCTTAAAATGCTGCCTAGCCTGGAACTTGGGACAGTCACCTTGTCTCTGTCCCCCATGACCCAGCCCCAGTCCTGGGTATGGACCAGATGAAGTGCCAGCCCCATCTGACACTGACTTTTGGAGAAGTGGTTGTGCATATTTTATTTTCCTTTGACTCATGTGTGAGTTCAAAGTAAACACTACCACCATGGACAACTTTTGAATTAAATCCACTAGAGCAAGCTTTAAAACTAATCTGAGCATAACCCTGCCACATGGCTCTATGCTTGTACACGTTTGCACATATTTTGTTTAGTACAGTTTCATATTTGAGTTTGCAGAATTATCTAATAGTCTTTTTTTGGCTAATATTTTTATAACGTGGTTCTTATTTAACTGTCTAGTTTTGATAGAATTTACCAGGTCTGGCTGAATTAAGATCTTGGCATGTGTCATTTAGTGGTTTAAATCCTCTTATTTATGGTTTTAACTCTGTAAGAAAACTTAAAAAGGAAGAGATGTTTGAATGACAAAAACATGCCTTATAGGAAACCTAAAGCAAATTCTTTATAGGGAATTTGATTACACAAAAAAGATGTTTATTTAAGGGAAAAAAAACCAACTCCACCAGTAACAGACTTGTAGCCTCCAGTTGCCTTTTCCTTTCTCTGTCTCCCTTTTTTGGTTAATTACAAACCAATCAACTCTCAGCTCTTTCAGCTAGATCCTGAGAGCGGTTTTATTTCTTACCAGTATACCAACATCTTGGAAGTTAAAGGAAAAAAAATCTAATCTATGAATGTGACTCACTGGTTTTATCAACTAATTCCTTTTTTAATTAAAGGCCCACAGGGATTAATAGGGACTCTGTTTACAGTGTGTCAGAAGTAGAGGGAGCATCTTAGCCTTGCATCTGTGCTCTCCTCTGTCTCAGTCCTTACTCAGGTTATGGTTGGAAACAGCGGTCGTCCTGGGTGTGAGGTGCTGCTGTGCCCAGGGGTCCCTGGGGGAGAGTCCCTAGACTGAGATCGGGTGAGGGACCAGGGCTTGCTTTGAACCACCTACCTTCCGGCTCGAGACCAGCTCTAGACACAGGTTGCAGAAGATGAAAAAATTCATTGCCACCTGGGATAGAATTTTAACAAACATGCACTAATATCATCTCCCTCTTCCAACCTCCTTCTGTCCTCGTCCTACTCACCACTGTGAAAAAAGTATTAAGTCTCAAATTATAGACCAGAGAAGACTTTATTTTTCCCCAGGGAAGGGACAGTCCCCTGAGTCCTACTGTATGTCCCAGCAGTCTAGCAGGTGTTTCTGACTCGCTTTGAAACACAGACTTCTCACCTACAGCTCCAAGGGCAGCTAACCACCTACCTGCCCCTCTCTGGTTCCAGAGAGATTTGACCCCTAGCACCAGCCCAGGAGAGATTGCAGTGGTCCCTGGGCTGCAGGAGGCCATGATGGCTCTGCATGAGGACTGCTCTGAGTCCTGTGTGAGACCTTCTCCTCCTTGGTGCAGGCCCGAGTTCCCAACCAGCCACTCTTCCTGGAACTGCAGGCCTGCAGCTGGCCTTAGGCTCCAGTGTCATTCAGGAAGGCTGGTAGAGGGTGAGAGGCACTGTGGTTGTGGAGGAGGGCACCTGCCCCAGATGGTGCTTTCCCTCCAGTGGTGTGGAGCCTGGCAGCCTACAGGTCAGTGCACCAGACCCAACTCCTAGGGTCAGTGATTCTTTTGTAATAGACAGTAGCCCATCCTGATGTGACTGAGGCCCCAACACAACAACCACTGTGCCACCAGGGCCCAAGAAGATAGCCCCTCGCCCCGCCTCATGGCACAGGCTGTTCTGAGCGCACGTTGTTCCTGTTGCCTGCTGCACTGATCATGAAGCCACCGGCCACTTCCACATGTGTTTCACACGTGCCACTGTGCCCCCTTCTGATGAGCACCATGGTGGAGGAAAGCACCCAGGGGCCGGTGGCTGGTTTTGAACATGTGTTGACTGTTGATACTTATTTACTGTATAAATATAATTTATCATTTGTATCATGATGCGGTTTCTGGCTGTGTCCTTACCCAACTCTTTACCCATCTTGAGCCACAGGAGAGGACTGGGTGGGCTTGGGAGCCAATTTCTGCCCAGGAGCAGCTTGGCTTGTTAGTGAGGCCACCACTTGATCTTGGTGGCCCTGAACCTTTAGGACAGAGGATAGGAGACTTGCTCTTGGTAGGGCAGTCATAGGCAGTCTGAAGGGTATGCTGGGGAAGTGTCTCAAGTGCCCTTCCCCTTCTAGCATTTATCCCCTTGTGACCTCATGATGGAACCTGCTTTGAAGGAGGTGGCAATGAGTGTGCCAGCTCCAAGGCTGGGCCTCAGGTCTCCCATGTTCAGTACGTCATGTCCATGCCATAGAAGAGCTGCTCCAGGAGGATCTGCAACCTGCCATCTTATCAGCTGGGTCCAACTTCCTTTCTACCCAGGGGAACAAGAAATGGGCCTGCTTTCTACATTGCCAGACACTGTCACAGCTGGGCCTTAGGTGACCAAGACATTCCCTCCACACATGGATCAGAAGGTCCCATCAGTCTTTGCTTCTAGCTCAAAGCCCAGGGTCTCCATGGAGGATGGAGGGGCTTCTCCAGTAAGGCAGGTCCAGCCAGTGGTGATCACCATGCCCTCTTCCGACAATAAGGAGACATTGCAGCAGGGGTGATTGTCACAGGTGAGACTCCACTCATGGAAGAGTGAATTGAAAGGTATGGGCAGTCACTGGTTCCAGAACCAGACCTCTGAGGTGGCCCTGCTTGGGAGGGAAGAACCTGAGGAAGCTATGGTTCTGGTGGGAAGGGTGTTAACATTTCCTCAATGGCCCCAGGCTCTGCCCTCTAGGGGAGGCCTATCTTGTATCCCTTTGGCTACATTCAAGATGGATGTTAGAGCTCAGTGGAAGATGGGGAGGCAGTGCTCAGCTTCTGCCTGCTGCCTGTGAATGTTCCTCACCAAGACCTGTTAAAGTCAGAGGCATTGGTCCAGGCCCACAGATCCTGTAGAAGCACATGCCCTCCAAACCTTGGCAGTCTTTTGAGCTCTTTGCTTCCCATTAGTTTCAAGTACAAATGGTTGGAATTGTTTTGGTTGGAGAGTTACTTTGGTGCTGCCCTACCACCACCACCACCAACAGGGCCCTGTCTCCTGGTGTAGTACTACACTGCTGGGCTGATGGGACAACAGCAGGCACAATGCAGGCAGGGGCAATAGCAATAGATAATGAATGCACATATGAAGTTAATTTGTCCTCAGACAAGAGCTGTCATCCTCATGGCCTGTCCCTGCTTCAAGTTAAAGGTGATTACCATGAGGACATCTGGAGCACCATGGGAGGGCCAGCCCTTCATCCAGTATTGACCAAAAAACTGAGTTCCAGTGTTTAAATGGGGAGAAAGTTTTATTAGGTCTTTATTATCCAAAGCAATTTTCAGTTATCTGCATCAATTCTAGAAAGTCTTTTTCAACCTTTTTTTGGCAGTCCTTTTTCACCTTGTGCCTGCTTGGGAAGCACCCTGTCACTGAGTTGCATAAATTTTATTTTGAGATAGGGTCTTGCTAAGTTTCCCAGACTGATGAACTTGCAACCCTCCTGCTTCAGCCTCCCTGGTAGCTGGGATTACAGATGTATGCCACTGCCCCTGGCTTTCCTTTTTCAATCTTTTGATACCAACATTTTTTAGATTCATTTTGTTCCCTTCCATTTCTTCTTCCAAATTGGCAAGTTCTTTCCTGAGTTTTATCTATTTACTGTGACAGCACAACAGTAGCGAACCTCCACTGCACATTCTGTCTCTCCCCTAAAGCCGTCAGCTCAGCAGCCACATAACCCGCCTCAAAATCATCCTGGAGGGGCATGAGGACCCTCAATCCAAGTTGGTTTGTGCATTTGTCAAAAGTCAGCATATGGCTGAGAGTGTAGCTCAATGGAATACTTACCTAGCATGTGTGAAGCCCTGGGTTCTATCCCCAGTACCAAAACAAGAACAAAATAAAAATAATTCCAAACCAACCAACCAAATAACACCACACAGTACAATTAAGATTTATGCATCTCATTGGATATAAATGTCCCCTCAAAGAACAATAAAAAAAACCCTGATATACAGTTGGGTGTAGTGGCATACACTTCTGATCCCAGCATTGGAGAGACTGAGGCAGGAGGATCACAAGTTCAGGCCAGGCTGGTCAACTGAGTGAGACCCTATCTCAAAAAGGGCTAGGGATGTGGCTCAGCACTCCCTAGGTTCAATTCCTAGTACATACATACATACATAGACATAGCTAGATGATAGATACATAGAAGATAGACAAGAGGCCAAAAAATGGAGGGCCTCAGGGATTCCTGCCTGTAGTTTCCTGAGGCCAATGCAGCCATCTTGTGGGGGGGCACTTTGCAACTGTGAAGAGCCAGAGGGCAGAGGCCTCTTGTGTATTTCTGAGTGAGGAAACTTAGGAATTAGAAAAGTGCTATCTCTGGAGGAGTGGGTTGTGGTGGAACCAGGTGGGAGGTCTTCGAGGAGGGGTGGGAAGGGTCCTGGAGGGCTGGACAAGAGGTGTGGAGGGTTTTCTGAGGGAAATACAGCTGGGCTCTGGGCAGAGTGAGGGCCTCTGTGTTACGCCAGGGATGGAAGGTGGGCCAGCCAGTACTCTGCAAGCTTAGGCAGGTGGAGCAGTGGGTAAGAAGTTCCCAGCAGGGCTGAGGTTTTGGACAGGTGCCATACAGGAAAGGAGGGTTCCACGGAACTTATAGATGAGTGCATGTAATGACAACCGGTATTAAACAGGTAGAAGCCAGCAAGGGAAGAGTTGATGACTGGCAAAAAGGGGAAGGCTGGTGGCTTGGAGGTCTTGGAGAGACTGTGGATTGAGGGTCCCAGAGAAGGACCTACAAGGAAAGGAGTGGTCTGGGAGAGGGATCCCTAGATCTCTTAAGATGATGCAGTGGCTGGTAACAAGCAACTCCGAACCTGGAAATGGATGGCTACAAGGTAGAGATTAACGTCAATCCAAGTGAAGAAATAGAAGCCAAGTTGTTGGAGGGATCATTCATGTGGGCTGCAATGCCACCATGAATAGCTGGAGAAAAAGCAAGGTAGGCATGTTGGTGACACAGATGATGACCAGTGTGGTTTGATGGCTGGGGCTGCTGGAAGCTAGGCTGAAGAAGTGGTCTGGAAATGCTGAAGGACAAAGACACACCCCATTTCTGGGGCCATGGTGCATGGGAATGGGAGGGTAAAAGTGCTGCCCAAGAGTGGTATAGGGGACAGGGCAGCTTCAGAGATGGTCAGAATGTAGGAATTTTGCTGAGGCCAGACCAGGAGTTCCAGAATACACAGTGATGGGGCAAGGGATGGGGGTGCCCCTCAAGATAAAGGACATAAGAGAGTCTGTTCAGCAACTTGCTTAGGGCATGGTCCAGTAAGAGGCCAGAGCCTTGCACAGTGGTTTGTAGCCTGGCATCCTGCTGAGGACTCTCAGCCAGGGACAGCTGTACTAAGGGAAGCTCTGTGGCAGGCTGGGGGGCTCACCTGAGGCTGTAGAAAGGGAAGTTGTAGGACATGACTTGCCAGGGTGTGCATGGAGAAGGTAAGAAGGCTTCATCTCAGGCCTTCCTGTTGTAGTGCCACAGGCACCTGTGTGCAAGTGGCCCGGAATCCTCACAGATGCCAAGGTGTTGGGCCATGGGGCTTATCAATGCTCTCACCCTGGCGCAACCGAGTTTTGGGGGCTCCTGCAGCTTCCACCCAGCACAATGCTCCACAGGGCTGGAGATGAGGCAGGGTCTTGGAGGCCTGCTCCCATGTGGAGATGGCGGTGGCACAGGGAAGAGAAAGCAGCCCCACTTGGTTCTCTGAAAAGTAACTTTATTACATAAAACTATTTTGTTGTCCCCAAATGCTCCACAGCACCAGGCTGCACTTCAGGGTGATGGGTGAGTGGCTGACTCCAGAAAGAAGTCCTTGAGTAACGGGGCTGCCCAGCTGCCCAGCCAGACTGAGTGTCTTCACCCAGAGATGCCTTGGGGCAGGCTGGGCCCCGGGATACCATGTGTGTCTGCAGGCCCCGTGTCGTAGCCCAGCTTCCTCATGTCCTTGGTCACCACGTTGAAAAGGAGGGTAACAAAGCCCTGAGAGCGGACTCGGGTCACTGGGGACAGACGGATAGCATTAGCCAGGCTGTGCTGGGGCAGACCCAGGGTGCTTTGGCTATCTCTCAGCCTCAGTACTCTCTTCTGTGAAATGGGATGACAGTGCTTTGCCCATATCCCTCACTGGGCAGTCAAGAGACAACATACAGTGGGACAAATAGACATGCAAACCCTCTGCTCCAACTAGGTACTCACCTGGAAGGTGCTCTGAAAAAATTCTTGGGCCATCTCCTCTCCTATAGTACCAGGTCCCAGATGCCTGGCAGTTTCTTGGCCTTCACCCCCACCTACTTCCTGGGCTCCTGCGTACTAGGGCCTCCCAAGTCCCTCTCCAGGCTGCAGCTTGCCTCTGAACTGGGGTGGGGGAGGGGCATCATGCTTTACCTTCCCGGCCTTCGCCCTGCGCCAGCACCTTTGGGTCTGTGTACTCAGGCCGTCGTCCCATGAACCAGCTGGGGACACAGGAGAACATCTGTGAGCAGGACCCAACTGGGGGATTCCTGGCATCAGACACTGGACATGGCCCTCTAGTACTCATGGCAATATAATGTGCTTCCTGTGCCCTGAGGACAGGCACCAGCACTCTCCATGTGCTGCCTTCCACAGGCTCTCAGGGCAGGACCGGAGACCACAGTGATGGAGGGGTGCTCACTGACTCCCAGTGGGTGGGCAGAGCCACCACCTCTATGTGTCTCAGTTTCCCCATCATGGAACAAGGCTCTTCGCAGGTGGCTGTGAGGACTGAGGCCTAGGGTGCAACCTCTATTGTGGGGGCAGATTCCATCCTCGCCACCATCTTCGCTAGGTCTGCACGCAGAGTGGTTTGCTCATCGGGCTGAGAAGACAGATTGTTCAGGGGAGGATGTTCCAGGTAAGGGCCCACTGGGCTAAGCATCAAGGCAGGTAAGGAGCAGGCAGATGGGAAGCAAGCAGGGGAGAGGCCACAAAGCCAGCAGAACACTGTAGTAATCTGGCTGAATTTAACCATAAATGCAAAGGAGTGTGTATGGGGCTTGGAGCATATACCATCTTACTTGCCATGTGAAGACTAGGTTGGAGGGCTATAGTAGTCTAAGAGCTCCCAGAGATATCAGGTGCTTGTTCCTGGAAACCGAACGCAACCTTATTTGGAAAGAGATTCTTTGCAAGTGTCATTAAATTAAGGATTTTACACTGTGGAGGTTATCCTAGATTATCCTTGATCATCTGGAATAATCTTAGTGATACTCTATCAGAGATAGTACTAATGTAATCACAGTCCTCATGGAAGGATGCAGAGGGAGACGTGACACACATAGAGGAGGAGGCATGTGACCAAGGAGAGATCCACCCATAACCCAAGAAAAGTGGGCAGCCACAGGAAGCAGAAAGAGGCAGGAGCAGAGTCTTTCCCTGAGCCTCCTGAGGGAACACAATCCTCCCAGCATCCTGCTTTTGGCTGAATGGTACAGGTTTTGGACTTTTGCATATCAACTTTGTGATACTACATGCTGCCTTCACTGATCAGACACCTCCCTGGTCCTACAATCCAAGAACACATGGCTTTGCCCATTTGGGATCCTGTGTAAAGGGCTGGAGATGCCCGGGCACTGAGCTGCCATCCTAGGCACAGGCTAGAAGCCTGCCTGTATGTCCTCCATCTTTCAGCATGAAGTCCTTTTCTCAGAGACCTCTCATTGCAAGGCCCAAACTCCTTCCCTGGGGTGTGGGATGTGAAGCAAGGAAAATACTATGGCAGGATGGACATATGGGCTCTCAAAGCCCATCCCCCTTCCCTAAGCCCACAGAGACGACCTGACCACTGCTTCCCACACAGCTCCAGGGATGGGCACTGTCACTTTTGGTGACATTGACCCGGGGCATCTGGCTAAGAAGCCCTTTCCCATCTAGTGGCCTCCCAGAGGGGCTTCTAGGGACAGTGGGCACCTAAACTGTTTGGCTGATGCCAGTAGAGAATGCTGTCCTTCCCCTCTGCAGGTCTCAGAGTTCAGTGTGGCTTCTTGGGCTCTTATCTGTCCCTTCACCCAGCAGGGTTCTAACCAGGTCTCACTCCTTGATACTGACCAGGCTTGCAGGGAGAAGTGGTGACTCAAGTCAGTCACCTGGGGCCTGCTGGCCCTCCAGGCTCCTACTTGGAAGTCATAAGGGGTAAGAGGGCTTCCTGCTGGCAGCCTGCTACAGGCATGTGTTCCCTGAGCCCTCTCATAGGCCCTGTATCCCGGCCCAGGCCCGTCTCCCTGGTCTCCCCACTCCCTACCCCACCCTAGTCTCCTAGTTTATCACTTACTGGCCACAGTGACTTCCTGATTACTTCTGATGCTAACCTCATGTTTTCCTCAGGGCTAAGGAATCCCAGGGACTCTGAGCAGCCCCAACCCCAGGCCCCAGTTCCATTTGTCCTCAGGAGGCAGAACAGCCTGAAGGCCTGGTAAGGTCTCCAAGCACATCACAAGGGCCAGAATGTGACAGCCATTCCAAGAAGATTAGAAGGAGCTGCCGGGGGCTTCACATAGAACTCTCACCTTGTGAACTTCTGCAGTTTAGACGTAGACTCTGGCACAAACATAGGGATGGTCCTTTTGTGCCTAAAACAAATATTTTCACACACAACATGTGCTCAGTAGTAGGAAAGTGATGTGCTTTCATAGCCTCTGACAGTGTGCTGGGACCCACACAGACCAAGTGTGTGGCTGCGGCCTGCAGAGGGCAGAGTCTAGGAGAGTCTTTTTCTCAGGGTCTGCTCCCTCCCCTCCCCATCTGGGGTCTGGGTGACACTGGGAGCCTGCATGTGGGCCTCTTCCCAGATCTGGGCCACACCCACCATACTCCAGGCTGAGCTGTCCAGGCTCAGGGCATTCCAAGGCATTCCCAGCCTGAGCCCAAGATGCCCTGCCAAGTGATGGTGCCCAGTCTCCAGGACAGCATGGCCCAGAAAGGGACAAGGGGTCAGGGTGACAACCTACCGGCCAGGTGAGAAGGGCACATGCACTGCCCCATAGCCTCGGACCACGTCATTCCCAAACATGTCTGGTCCATACACACTGAGCACGATCTGTGGCCCTTGGAAAGGACAAGGCTGGGGTCAGCATGTGCGGAAGCCATGAAGGGTGCAGGTAAAGAACAGGATATCCAGCAGAGTCCCAGGACAGCATTCAAGGCCTGGGACAGTGGTGGGCTCCAGGGAGGCACACAGAGGGCTCCTTCCCTTCCTGCAACTTCCTGTGGCTCTGCTACTGCCCAGGCAGGCACTCTCTACAAATCATAGCAGGGGAGAAAGAGCCACAGTGTTGTCCCAGCTCTATCGTTTGATGGGCACAGAAAGCACCTCTGGAGCCCTATGGCAGGCACTGGCCCCTGAGCTGACAAGGGTCTGCTACCTGCTCTCTGTGCCTCCTCTGATGGAAGTGGTCACACTCAGGTGTGCAGAGCACAGCTCATGGGACCAGGGTGGAGGGGGCCTATTCAGGGGTTTTCTTAGACAGAGAGATAGCAAGGCATTCCAGGTATTTCCCTTTGAAATATTAACAGGTACATCCATTTCCCATTAACATCAAGGTCCTTCACCTTAACACTAAGGTCCTTAACTGGGTGCCTCCACCTCATTAGTTTCTATGTCCTTTATGTGTAGGGAGATCACAGTCTGAGGTGATAAGTGAGGCCCCAGGAGGGGCTGGGAACCAGCTTGCCAGGCTCCTTATCCTGCAGCCCTTATTGAATGACCTCAGATTAAGTTATGTAATCTCTCTGCATCTTAGCTTCCTCACCTCTGAAACCCTTAGAATAGTGCTTCCGCCTAGTTTTTTTTTTTTTTTTTTTTTGGTACCAGGGATCGAACTGGGGTCCTTGTGCTTGTGCAGCAGGCGGCAAAACCAACTGAGCTAAATCCCCGGCCCCCTCTGCCTAGTTTTAATAGCTGAATATTTTCATCATCATTCAATTCAAAATGTTTCCTAATTTCATTATTATTTCTTCTTCGCCATATGGGCTATTTTTAGAAGTGATTTTCTTATTTTTCAAACAGATGGAGATTTTTTTTCACCATCCTTTTGTCATTGGCTCCTAGCTTTAATTTCATTATAATCAAAGAAAACACTCCCCAGAAGCCAGGAGTGGTGGCACATACCCATAATCCCAGCACTCAGAAGAATGAAGCAGGAGGATTGTTTCGAATTCCAGGCCAGCCTGGGCTACATAGTGAGTTCAAGGCCAGCCTATCTCAAAAATAAAAGGTCCCAGATAATGGGTAGTGATGCTTTGAATGTGGCCAGTGGTGTGGGATGAGTGACAGGCTCATTTGGGGATGCCACAGGAGAGCTCCAGCCCCCCACCCCGCAGGCTGCAGACTCACAGCCATAGGGGTTGGTGCTCTTAAAGGTGACATCGATGGGGAAGTTCCACACCAGGGCTCGACGCACATCTTGGCTCTTGGAAGTGATCTGTGAGATTCCCTCCTCCAGACCCTGTGGGACAATGACAGTGACAGCTGGTCTGAGTTCCAGGTGGCCATACTCCCTCCCTTTACCTTGGGGAGGCAGTTGAGAGGGCTTTTTTCTCAACCATCTTCTACCGAGACCTACACTGTAAAACAAAAAGATCTAAGAGATAACAGAGCACCTCTTAGGTCTGGAAAGTTAATGCATTATCTTACCAAGGTGTGACAACACCAGAGCCAGACTTCCCCCAGGCACAGGCGCTTCTCCCCTCTGCTCCTAGAAGGTTCATAGATCTGCCCCATACCTCCCTATATGTTTTCAGCCCTCTTCCCCTCACCCTGTTCACTGGGCATCCTGCCTTCCTGCTGCTCCTCAAACATGCCAGGCATATCTGTGCCTCAGGGCCTTTACACTCTCTGCTCCTTTGCCCCAGAAAGTCTTCCCCACAGATTTCCACGTGACTTATTCCCTCCCTTCCTTCAGATCTTTACTTAAAAGCAGCCTTCTCATGGGGCCTTCCTAGCCCACCCTATCCAGCATCCAGCATCCAGCCTCCCTCATGTCCCTCACAGCTCTTGCTTGCTAACTTCATTCTTCCTCCAGGACTTACCATTAGCTAACATAACGGAATATGTACTAATTATCCATCTCCCCCAAGAATGTGTTCTCTCAGATGACAAGGATTTTTGTCTGGCTTTGGTCACCATGGTTATCCTCAACATCCAGAAGACTCAATTATAGTTATTCAATGAATGGCTGATGGAAAATAAGTATTATTAGGTCAGCTGTACAGATTAAGAAACTGAGGCTCAGAAAGGTCACACAAGTTGGGCCCTTACTTCCCAAACTGCTCTAAGGATTAAATAAGTACTTTGCAAACAGTAAAGCATGATGTCAACTGAGGTCTTCACTTTCACCTCTCTCCAGGTGGAGGCCTTGGACTGAGAGCCCCTGAACTGTCCCAATTCTCTGGCGCTCCACAATACCTCTGGGGAGAGGACTGGCCCCATGCATCTACAGCTCAGCCAATTCCTGGCTGGCTCTCTGGGGCCTGCCCACACATCCCTGCTGGCTGCCATGTGCCAGTTCATAGGAAAGACTATGTGAGGGAGTGTAGACTGGGAGACGCATCAGGGACCCCGGTGGTGGCTGTGTTCTCTGTACCAGCTTCATCAGGAACAATTTCATGTTTAGGTACCCTCTAAACTCAGTGTCTACCTCTCAGTCGGTTCTGGAAGGAGGGGAAGGTTGTGACAGTCACCTTCAGAGACCTTGACAGTGAAAAGGCCAGGAATGGGGCCAGGGATTTAGCTCAGTGGTTCCGCCGCCTGCGTCACAACCTCACAAGCGCAAGGACCCAAGTTCGATCCCCAGTACCAAAAAAAAAAAAAAAAAAGGCCAGGAGTAAAGTAGACCCAAGAGCCCAGCTTACCGCTGTGGGGGCCCAGTCCTGGCCGTACACAAAGCAGTACTTGCAGTAGAGGTCATCGTACTCTGGAAACTGCAGAGAAAGGATATAGAAATTCTGTTCCCTGGGACTCAAGTTGAGACTCATGTATTGGCTAGGCGGGAGCAGCTGACAGGAATTTTGAACATGAGGTACCTGGGAACCTAGACATGGGGGCATCTGTGGGAGAGACCCAGTTGCTACTGCCCCAGGGCCTCTCTGCTCAGGCTATGCATTTTTAAATTTTTTTTTTTTTTTGAGACAAGGCTTGCTATGTAGTTCAGGTTGGCTTTGAACTCACTGTGTAGCCCAGGCTGGCCTCAAATGTATGGTGATCTTCCTGCTGGGATTACAGGCATGTACCACCATGCCTGGCTTCTGCCTTCTATCTTATATGCCCTTCCCATCTTACTATCCTCTCATCCTTCTGCTCATCCTTCAAAACACACCCTTCACAGAGCCTGCCCTGACTCCCAGGGTCACCTCTTGGCTCCTTCAGGCTCTGTGCTTTCCTCTATCAAGGCACTGAATACCTGTGTCTATGTCTGTCATCCCCATCAGACTGTGAAGAGGAAACAAGTTTCATGGTTTTCTGTGTCTGCCACAAGGGTGAGCACAGATGAGGGAACAGTGCTGGCGTGAAAGGTCAGAGAACCCAGGAAGCCATAAGAACATAGAGCATAAGCATGGTGGAGCTTAGGGCTGGAGGACAGGGAACGGTCTAGAGCAGAGGGAAGAGCACTGGGGAAAGAAGGTGCTGAAAGCACTCAGCCCAGCTGGAAGACCATCATAGGGCAGAACAGGAGAAGGGGAGGATGGTCTTGGGTACTAGGCCAAGGTGGAGGTGAACAAGGGTGGGAGCTTAGAGCAGTATCCCTGGTGAATGAGGAAGGCACAAGACTCCTACTGAGCATCAGGCCTGGGAGAGCTGTACTTAAACCATCTTCATCAAATCTCACACTAATACAAGAATAATGAGGCTCATGTCCAACAAACAGCCTGGAAGGACAATGCAGCAAAGTGATACCTATCAGACAGACTTGGGCTCAAATTCCAACTTCGCCACTTCCTTTGGGCAAGTTTCCTCAGCCATAAGGACCTTAGCACCATCTGCCTTGAAAAAGTTTCTATGAGGATAGAGCAGGGCAGAACGCTGAGTTTTGCACATAGTGAGCACCTGGCGGAGACTGGGTTATATTTATAATAAATGGTCCTTGTAGACCGGATAGTGAGTACTGTCCCTTCAGTCTTACAGGTACATTCTCCCTGAAAACAGTCAAGGCCATCACCATCGTTGGATCAGAATAACCCAAATATCCCAGTTCTAATCCAAGTTCAAGGATGGGGATTTGGCGAGCATGGCACTCACTGCACACAGTACAGACGCCCTAGACAGTCGTTTAAGGACGAGGCCCTGTGTGCCCGCCCAGCTTCCGCTCCTCCCGTTACTCGCTGGAAGCTCCTGCCAGTGACTCAACCACGTGGACACGATCCAAGCCCGGGTCCACAGGCTTAGCCAAATGTGAACTCGGTACCAGCTCAACCTCCTGAGGTGTTTCCACAACGGCACATTGAGGCTAAGGATCTCCAGCAACCTGGCACCATGCCCCTCGGTGCCGTTCTCCCCCGCCTAACCCAGAAGCTTGGAGGAATGACACGGCCTTCTATAAGCCACGAAGCAGGCCTCGGGGTTGGGGAAGGGCCTTGGAGGTGACTGGGAACGGGCCCTGGCGGAGTCCGCGTCTGCTTACCTTGGCGCTCTCCACTTGCCCATTGACCATGAGCAGGAAGACACTGGGATTGGTCGCGGCCATGGCAAAGGCTCAGGAGGCTCACCTCGGCCCCTCGCGTGGTTGCTAAGAGGTACTGGGGTCGCTTTGGAAACAGACGGCGCGGCGCGCGGGACACATTTCTTATCCCTGCGATTTTGCGAAAGGGTGCGCGAGGGTGGCGGCACGCAAGCGTAGTTAGAAGCTGAGGTCATCAGGGCGGGACTTTGTGGGGGTGGGACCAGATGGGGCGGGGCTACACTAGCCCACATCTCCCTTGAGGATACTAGGACCTTCCCTCCCACTTCGTAGAACCCGACCGCATCCGATTACTCCAGCAGGAAATGTGTGCGCAGTGTGACTCAGCGCTACTTTGCTTGAAGCGCGGTAGCGGGAAAAGCTGAGTCGTGGGGAGAAGTTCCTCAGACTCAAGCCCACCTGAAGCCAAGTGTTAAAACACCCCTTAGCCACCAGGTGGCGCTGTGGCCCTGCCGGTAGGACGCAGAGGAACGCGGGTGGCGCGGCCAGCGCTACCACAGCTCGTTGCGGTTTAACTCCCGGCGCTGAGAAGGGGCCTCAGGTTGGGCCAAGAAGCTCCCTGCCTCAGGTTAAGGGCATGTGTCTGGGTGGCTTTTGAGACCCTTGCCTCCGAAAATGTTTCGGCCTCAAGAATTGCCTCCTGGCCTCAAGAATCCCTATACGGAAGTCACTTCTCATTGTGAAGCTGGGGAAACAGCCCCACGGAGGCGCGGCAAGTCACCCAGTGCTCCGGCGAACTGCTGAGCAGACTCATGTCGTGACTCTCTTCGTTACTCCCTGGCCACCACTACCCCACTCGTGGGCGTCACGGCTTCTGTTAACACGTGGATGGAGCTACTCTTAGCGCTCAACATTTGTATTTGCAAATTCATTCTTGTCATAATTCGGGCTGAAGCTTGCCTCCCCCGCTAGACTGCCAGCTCCAAGAGCCCAGGAGCCGCATCAGTCTTGCATCTTTGTTGCCTGGCACATAGTAAGCCCTCAGTAACTACATTTTAAATGAATGCACACTTGAACATATCTTCATTTAAAAAGAAAATTGAACTCAGTGCCTTTGAACATCCTCAGCCCTTTTTATTTTTTATTTTGAGACAGGATCTTGCTAAATCTCTAAGTTGACCAGGCTGAGCTCGAACTTGTTTTCCTCCTACCTGTCTCCAGAGTGCTGGAGGCTTGTGCCCTCGAGCCCTGCTGAACACAACTGCATTTCACGGGGGAGGAAACTGAGATTCAGACAGGGAAGGTGTCTTGGACACAGTTCAGAAGCAGTTCAGTAAGCCGAGTTTGGATTCACACCCAGGACTTCACAAGCTAAAGACCCTCACTACCTCCTCTGCCTTCTCCTAGCCACTCCAGGCCCAAGGGTGCCTGTTGGTGCAGGTGTCAAAGGAGACTTTGAGACCCCATCTCTAAGCCAGGAAATGAAGGGGTGCATGGGTATGCAGGCTACAGCGAGGCTGGGCCTCCAGGTCCTCTACCCTGCAGCAAACAGGTGCCAGCTTGGGAGCAGACAAGGGGACCCAACAGCCACCTATGCAGGAGAGACGTGGGGTTACAGCCCAGCCTGAACCCACTGCACCCCCCCCCCCGGGTGAGTAAGGGTGCCTGGTTGGGGAGGGGACTGTAGGCAGCTAGCACTCACACACATCTGGCAGGAGCGGCTGTGGGGGCCTGATAGGTTGGAGATCCTGCGTGTCCAACACATTGCACAGGGAAGGACCTGTTTGCCTCCCCTGGACCTTGCTCATACTCCCCTGCTACCCCTCACACTCTCTTCCCAGTTAAAATGCTTTCTCCCACAGATTGTGCCAGCCTCACCCAACTCTTTCCTTCTTGTAGGCTCAGTATTGCACAAAAATTAGTTTTCAGCAAAAATGCTTGTGTTAGCAAATAATGGAATGCACCCAGCAGCTTAGAACCTGGCTACATTGAAGGCTGCTCCACTTTCAAATAGGATGTGATGGGGAAGTCTAATCAAGGAGCAAGAAGCTTGGGGGTGGCCCTCAGGAATGCAGATTAAGTCTGATCTCTGGATGCTGGGGAGTGGGGGACCCCAGAGCAGGAGGGAGGATGGCCAATCCCAACTCTTCTGAGTTTAGTGGCATGAGAAGGGACTTGAGGGGAGGGAGTCTTGAGTTTGCTCAGGGCCTGCTGGAGTCCTCACCACCACCTCTGGTGGGCTGACGAGGGCCCTGGTGCATTGCAAGCCCTTGGACAGACTGTCCCTCAGGTTGGGACAGTCAGGTTGCAGCAGAAAGGCATCTTTGCAGACACTGTGTGCAGTGATCTCAGCAGGATACAGTACAGCTCTTGAGGTGAGGGATAGGGATCTGTGCAGGGTGAGGACAGACCCTCAGGCGGGGCTGTTTCTTGGGCTTGCACCAGCCCAGCTTGCCTGCTTGTTACCAATGCCACACTTTCCTGTCTGCTAGCCAAGGTCGCCCGTCCCCGGCTGCCAACCTGGGCCTCTTCCTGCTCTCCATGACACTCTTCATTCACACTTCACTCTTAGTCTAACCCCATCTTCCTGGACTCTCACACAGTACCCTCTGGAAAGCTTTATGCCACTGACATCCAAGACACGTGGAGCAGGCAGGAGAGTGGTGGATGAGGCAGTGCCCAGCGCCAGCCATCAGCACGGGGTGGGGGCTGGAGGCTGAGCAGGCACACCACACCTGTTCCCTCTGCCTGGCCATAGCCAGCCTGTTGGGGTATGGGCAGGGACTCTGGGGATTCCTCTCCAAGGTTCTCAGCTTCTCCCCAGCGCCTGCCTCCCCTAGCTCAGCGCTTCTCACTGCTGTCAACCATCCCTGGTCCCTGCTGATAGCAGGTCCAAACCCTTGGCCCCAGCAGAGCTGCCAGGGAGGAAAAACCTGAGTGGCCAGAGGGATGGGCAACACAGCTCTGCTAAGAGCTGGAGGCTTTACCGGGTGAGTCAAGGCTGGGCCACTTAATCTAGAGCCCTCAGGTCCTCTTGAAGATAGGAGCAGCTCCCTCATGCTGGACTTGATGTCACAAGTTGATCTGGGTCCAGGGCCACATTGAAGTGGGAATGAGGGCAGCTGTGGAGATAGGTAGAGGGGAGGTAGAAAGATGGGGGACACCCTCTTGGACTCCTTCTCCATCACCCTGCCCAGACCCTGCACTCACCTGCCAAAGCAGTTGGCATCCATGAGCACCCATTCTGGGGAGCTGAGGGCCCGCTTGCAGTGGTAGTGATTGTTGAGGAAGATCTTCACCTGCCAAGGCCACATGGCTGGGCCTTTCCTGCTATAAGCTTCGGCCAGCCTGGGCCCTGCACTTTGGGAAAATAAGGCCTCTGAAAGTTACCTAACCTCTCAGAGTTTCGAGTTTCTTCCTCATACCCTGAGAGCTGTTGTGAGGATTAAATGTGATGATATATGTCTTGTGTAAGGGTCAGGGTGAACGGATGTCGCTTGAGACCCCTGCAGTAGGTCCCAGCCTCCCGTGAGCCACCACAGCACTGGATAAAGGTTAAAGAATAGACGGAATGGGACTTATAGTGAAGCTGAGTCTGGGGTCCTGATCAATGCTGCACTAGGCAACAAAGACAAAAGCCCCCAAGTGCATCCAGTATTTACTGAATACAGTCGTGAAAAGGAATAGGGAGCTAGGGAGCTTTGAAGTCGTCTAGTGAATTACTGCTAAACGCCTGGCATGATGGTGCCAGGTAGGGCTGTTAGGGAGTAGGCACTGCTTATCTTGCTAGGAGAGAAGAAACGGGTACTGGGACCAGGCGCAATTAACAAGCACTCCACAAGATCAGTGAGATATCAGGGGAAAGGATTTTAATTGGGGTCACACTGACCTTAGCTGCACATAATTCAACAGGGCCCTGCTACTTCACAGACCAGGACTTAGGCCTCGGTGACAGCCATTAGCAAAGGAGCAATACTAGCCCAATTCTGCTACCTGACATGCCCATTTGAGTCACACAGGCCTTCAGTGTGACTCCTGATTTAGGGAAGGCAAGAAGCACGTGCCACTCATAGCCCACTGGTACTGGGCAGGGATGTCTCCTACAGTCTTGTACTGTATTTAGAATATTCTGAAGTTTAATACAATTTTAGCTCTTCTTATTCCTAAATGTAGTTCTTAGGATGCTTATGTTTTTTCATGTTTCCAGGTTTGCATATGCCATTCCTTCTACCTGGCATTTCATTCTCTGCCTTATCTACCTAAAGAACTCCTATTCAGCTTTCAAAAATGAGCCTTCCTTGAACTCCTCCCATGTCCCCGCAATTTGCTCCCTACTTCCAGCTTTGCTTGCTTTTCTGTCAAGACCTGGAGCTCACTCTGCTCAGGCACCTGGGCCTCCTTTAGGGGAGCCATCCATCTGTCCTATCCTGTTAGTTGGGACCCACCTGTGGAATCTTCAAAGGTCATGCCCAGTCTGCACAGAGCTCTTCCCTGCAGGCTGGATACCTCCTCCACTGCCTGATACCTTCTCTATCCTGGTTCCAGGTTTCTATTACCCAAACCCAAGGCTGAGTTACTGGTTGTAAGAGAACTTGGATTCCCAGCCCTCCTGGCAAGCCCTCAACAGTTGCTTGCTTCTTCCCTCTGTACTTCCCCGGTCCTCTCCCACAGTTCTTTACCAAATAGTAGGAACAGCAGCAGTGGCCACATCTGTAGAGTGGCCTGGGTTTGTTCCAGCTGTGTCTGGCCTTTCCCCTGTCAGCCCAGGAAATTTAACTTCTCCAGTGCCTCCTCCCCACTGCCCCCGCAAGGCCCAAGTCACCAGGCAAAAAGGGAACTTGCCTGCAGAAGAGGAAGCTTCCATAGCAGGACCTGAGCTCAGATTCATGGTGGGCAGCTCTAGGCATGCTGCTTACAGACTTTGGTACTTTTGGGCTCTGCAGATCCCACTCCCAGGATGCCATTCTAGTTACAGGGAACTCCTCCTATCTGCCCACAAAGCTCTGAGCAGCCATTGCTACAGGGCTCCTCACAGCAACACAAGACCAGTGCGCCACCTCCTTCATGGATAGGGAGGCTGAACCTTAGAGGGCGTGATTTCCCAAGATCACAGTGAGTCGGAGGCAGAGCCAGGACTTGGACCAGGGTCTCTGGGACTTCAAGTCCCCAGATCATTCCTCCTCACCCTTTGGGTCTTTCCTCCTAGCTCTT